ACCTTCACTCTGCCCCCCGCCTGGATTGTTCTAGGAGCGTCTGGAAGCCGCTCCTTAGAGGGGGGGTTATGTGATGATCTGCGGCTGGAGTGCCCGCTTGAGCCTCTGGGGGGCACTCCTTCCTTGTTTATTGTTTCATTCATGTTTTACCCTGGACTGATTATGGTTTATTTCATGCACCTGTGTTTTATCATCTTGTTTAGTTCACCTGTCTTAAGCCCGAGTTTCCCCTTTGTTCGGGGCTCAGTATTGTTTGTGTATAGTGTCTGACTGCTGCGTGTGTTTCTAGTATTTCTTAGTTTCCTTGATATTTCCTAGTTTCACGGTTCCTGGACTCTCTGCCTGTTTCTGGTCTTCCCGTTTGCCTAATCCCTGAATTGTTTGATTACTGATCTGGACTGCTTACCTGGTTTTGACCCCTGCCTGTTTCCTTGTACCTGTCTCTGGATTCTCCTCTTTAATAAAGCCTGCGTTTGGATCACCTCTGTCCTTGTTCCTTGTGCAGTTTCATGACACTTTTAAATGTTGACTGTAAAATTTTTAGTAAACTTTTAGCTAGTCGTATGTCAAAAATCTTAGAGGACGTGATCCACCCGGATCAAGCGTGCGCTGTGCCAGGGAGGAAGATCACGGACAGCCTGATTTTGATAAGGGACGCAATCTGTTTTGCGAGAGACAGAAACAATCGGCTTATAGTTCTAAATTTAGACTTTGAGAAAGCATTTGACAGAGTCTCGCACCAATACCTGTTTCAGGTACTGGAAAAATTGGGGCTGCCAGGGAGGGTTCTAAAGTGGGTGGGGATGCTGTATAAAGACATAACCAGCAGAATTCTTGTAAATGGGCACTTGACAAAAGCAGTAACTGTATGCAGCGGCGTCCGTCAAGGGTGTCCGTTATCTCCGCTCTTGTATGTGGTTTGCATCGAACCACTGGCACAACTCTTGAGAAGGGACCAATGGATCAAAGGACTGAAAATTCCAGGTACAAAAGGACTGACGGACTTAAAATGTGTTTTATACATGGACGATGTGACAATTTTAACAACTGACCTTTTATCAGTACAGAGAGCACTTGACCTGACTGACCAGTACGGGCGAGCCTCTGGAGCAAAACTCAATAGAAATAAGTCCGAGGCCCAGCTTTTTGGACCATGGGGTGACATAGACGCGACAGGACTAGACGTGAATTTTAAGGAAACTGACATTAGGATTTTAGGAGTAAAGTTTGACAAAGAGGGGGGCGGACAAGGAAATTGGACAGAAATGGTAGGGAAAGTTAGACAACGACTGGGCTTTTGGAGACTACGGACACTGACAATGGAAGGAAAAATTTTAATTTATAAAGCTGTGATCTTACCGTTGTTTTTATTGCTTTGCTCTGTTTTTAGGCCACCAAGGTTCTTCCTCCTGACAGTCGAGAGGGCAGTGTTTTATTTCTTCTGGGGGTCAAAGTGGGAGCGCCTCAAAAGAGAAGTGGTGAAGAAGAGGAAAGAGAATGGAGGGAAAGGCCTCCCCGACCCCTATCTGTTTTTAGCAAGTAGATTCACAGCACTGCATTTTAAATATGCAATAAACCCCTCCAGAGAAAACAAAACTGCAGCAATGGTCAGATTTTGGATGGGGTCATATCTGCGTAGTTTGAAAGTTTTACCTGTCGACCTGACTGTCCCAGTGTCTTTTAACCTTCCACAAGAATATTGTTTTATTAAAACCTTTTTAAAAAGACACGATTTAGAGAATCAGGATGTCAACGTTTTAACAAATCATAAGTCTCTCATACCTAGTGTGAGGCCTGGAACCGGACACACGATTCCCGATCCTGCACAAGAGAGGAGGCCAAAGACGTTTGGAGGAACGCAGCCCACCCGGCTCTCCAGAACAGGCTTAAGGACTTGTCGTGGATGGTGGCCCATGAGATCCTCCCGGTCAGGGCGGTTATGCACTCCAGAGGCATGGCAAAAGCTCCACCTGCCCACGGTCCGGATGTGGTTCCCCGGAGACCGTCTGCCATCTGCTCTGGGGGTGCGGTGCTGCGCGGGACCTGTGGGCCAGGACCGGCCCCCTGTTTTTCCCGTGAAAGAAAAATCTGTTCTTATCAGTTTAATATCTGATACGTGCCCTACCCGGGCACCACATATTAAATTGATTTTTGGTCCTGGGAGATGGAATAGGGGCTTGCTCCGTCCACTCCACGCATCGACCCGGTATTGCAGTACTTCTGGGAACGGTGCACCCTCCTAACGTGTTCAATGAAAGAAATGTAGTGGTCTTGTGTGGCAGAAGGTGATAATGGAGCTAGTGTGAGTGGGTGTTGTAGGTGATCATGTGCTATACTAGCCTGGGTAGAATTGTGGTGTAAAAACAAGACAAAAAGGAACCCCTGTTCCTCTGTCGGTTTAACATCTGATCCGTCCACTATTCGGGGACGGCGCATTATGTACATTTATGGCTCATGGAGCCGGATGCGGAGCGTGCAAAAAAAAAAAAAAAGCCCTTTTTTGACTGGCAAACCGCTGGTGAGGATTGGGGAGAGGGACAGGGTGCTTCTGACTGAAGGCCTGGGAATTCATACTTACCTGGCAGGGGAGACACCATGATCAGGAAGGTGGTTCACCCAGGGCGAGGCTCGGCCATTGCACTCTGGGTTGTGCTGACCCCTGCGAATTCCCCAAATGTGGGAATCTCGACTGCATAATTTATGGTAGTGGGGGACTGCGTTCGCGCTCTCCCCTGGACAAAACTGGTTAAAAGGGCAGATTGTTTAAAGCTCCACTTGAGGTTCTTTTGTTTTATTTTTTTCTGCACTTCTTCAATATCCAGAGGCAGTCCAGAGAGTTGAACTGCGGTGGTTGCTCGAGAGATACGAAACAGTCTAGGACCGGTCTGTGTGAGGAGGGTTTTCTTTTTTCTCCTTAATTCTTCAAATAATCTCCAATATTTGAAGGACGACTTAGTTCACAGCAGTTGTCCTGGAGGAAAAGTTGTTCGGAATGAGGAGTTCTATCATGTGGTATGAAAACATTGTGCACGTGTGAAACGTCACGTGATATACAGCCACCCATGTTGTGTTTTTTTCTGTTTACAGCGCCACCAAGTGGCCAGTCGCCGCATTCCTCTTCACGTGACCACGGGCTGAGCCCGTACACAGGTGTACCGAGTTGGGTGCAATTGTCTCATTCCGTTGGAGAGTTACAGCCATTTAAGTAAAGCCCGCCTCTCCCACCCCCAACATTTTGGCGTACCGTCGCCAACGTGGATGGAAATTCCAACTGTTTCCCGATCCCTGTTGGCAGTCAGACTCCAGAGAATCTTTCTGCACCGGTTTGGGTCAGATCGGGCAAAAAACCTAGGACTAGTGTGCAAAAGTAGGTTTTTCAGAAAATCCAAAATACCCGAAAATCTCGCCAGCGCGACCCCCAATCCGAGGCGTGCATCTTGTTCGGCTCGAGCCAAGGATTCCGGTGATGTAAGACACTTGGGTCTGCGACCGACGGTCAAGGAGTTACGAGCCATTTCGTACTTTTGATCGCTGCAGCGCCACCTTGGGGCCGATCGGGCGAGCCTTGGTGAGGTTGTAGTACCGGGCCGGTCCTACCATCCCTCAGAGTTTCAAGTCTCTACCACGGACGCTTTGGTCTGCCCGCTCACTTTTAGGGCGGAATGTTGATGATCCCAAATCCCAGGTTGCACTCCAGAGTGTCGTGCTGTGCACTCTGTTGTGATCCATTTTCGGTGTCAACCAATCTGAGCTGAGCTTGTTTGCCGGCGACCTTAGACCCTCTCGCCGCGGCCCAGGTGGGCGTGGCCTTTGCCGGCTTCCCGCCTCGGCGTCGCTGCGTCATCGCTTCTCGGCCTTTTGGCTAAGATCAAGTGTCTTGTCAATCGGCAGTGTTGCGATCGCCTCTTTGTAAGAGTTTGGGTTGTGCTTTCAATAGCAGTTTCCTATATCTTCAGAGAGGTATATTGTACGGCTCACGGCTGTATTTTTTTTTTTTACTATTTATTTGTCCTTTATTGTGTTGTTTCTGTTTTAAGGAGTAGGTTTTTCTATTGAGAGAACCTGTCTTAAGGTAAGTCTTTTAATATTTTTTTGCTGTTTTAAAGTTTTACTGATTTTGAATAGATTTTAAGTATCTTTTAAAACTGTGGGTGCCTCCAACATGTCGGCTGCCCGTGCCGGCATGCGGAGGCACCACAGTGTGCGTTTTAGTTTTTTAGAAAAAGAAGGAAAGCTGGTGGAAATGTCTAGATTAGACTTTTCTAGGAAATTGATGCAGAAATGTTTAGAGTTTACCCCGGTTGATCTGAATTGTATTCTGACCCTGCCTTTTAACAAAGGCTTTGATGTGAGTTAAGAACGCTGCACTGTTAAATGACTTCTGGCAACGCTTTGACACACATAAGACCCAGTTCTCCATGTTCAAAGTTGAGAAACTAACTGATAATACGCAAAAAGTGGTTGTTGTGAAGATGTTCAATGAGACTGTAAATGGAGAAGATATTTGCACATGGCTGGGTAGATTTTGCACTGTGAGGGGCCAGGCTATGAAGGTTTATGACGAAGACGGCATTTGGAATTGTTCCTGGAGGGTCCCAATTAAACAATGGGAAGACCCCCAGAGCTTCCAAGGTCTGAGACATCTACCTCAAATGATAGTCCTTGGCGAAAACAGGGGCTACATTCATTACCAAGGAATGCCCAAACTCTGCCGGCGGTGTGGGGAGTTTGGACATCTTGTTGAAGCATGCCAGAAAGTATTTTGTAACAAGTGTAGAGAAATTGGAAACCAAACCAAAAGATAATGAGGGGGCGGAGAGAAAAAATTCAAATCTCCCGCCAAATCTTGTGAGTGGTGGAGAAGGGACAGGTGACAGAGAAAATGAGGGGGCGGGCCTAAGGAGAGAAGGGGCAGAGCAAAATCCAATCTTCCCGCCAAAATTACACAAGTGGAGCAGATGAAAACGAGGAAATGGAACTTCACCAAACACTGATTAGCCATGAGACTGAGACAAGTAAACAGAGAAATGATGGAGAGGGGAAGCAAAACAGTAAAGAACAGGAAGAAAGAGCAGAGGAAGAACGAGGAAAAAACCCAGAGGAAGATAAGGTAAGTAAAGATCTCCCAGGTGTTCAATTGATAAGGAAAAAAAGGAATGCCCAATCTCCCATAGAGGAGACAAATGGGAAAAGGGATCGAGTGGGAAAATTTTCAGATTCTTCCTCATCCGGGGATTTGAATCGACTTTTCCCACTCGGCTCCCCAAATGAAATATCCTTTTTATCAATAGAACTCCAAACATCCACCCCAAGGTCAGCTCAAGGGGAAACAGGTTCAATCCCCTGATTCTCCATATATAGAAAGAAGGGAAGAGCTTGTTTAACTAAAAACATTCAAAAAAGGAGATCTGTGTTCTGTGAATTTATGTGTCTACTAAAATGTCTTACCTGTCTTTTTTAACTGTTCTGCTCATGACACTCACACTCTCTACTTTAAATGTAAGAAGTGTGCGGTCACAACTGAGAGCAAAAACCATTTTATCCTTTTTACAAAATCAAAACTGTGATATTTTGCTTTTACAAGAATGTGCTTTACCCTTTATGGAAAACTATAGGAAATGGGAAGAGCAGTGGCCCCACTCAACATCCATTTGGAGTGGCTCCAACCATAATAGAGCAGACGGAGTGGCGGTTTTAATTAAAAATCCTCAACTTATGGTGAAGGGGAGCACAGTTGTGAGGGATGGGCGAGCTCTGTTATACATCTGTCCTTATTAGGATATGAATAATATACTAAATATTTATGGTTTTATAGACAAAAATGACAGGAATGACCTTTTAGAAGATGTGCAGTCCCACCTTTAGGGAGGGCCCCGATTATCTTAGCAGGGGATTTTAATTGTATTCTAAGTAAAGTTGATAGGAGGGGGGGCGGTGAAGATTTTAAATTAGATAAAAACATCTATTTTATTGCAGAAGATGATAAAACATTTTTAAATTGACTGACTGTTTTAGAACCATGCATCCTGGGGAGCAAGGACTCACCTGGTTCAGTGGTGATGGCACCAAAGCTTCCCGTATCGACTATATTTTTACACAAGAGCTTTTACCAGTAGATGCTAAATTAACCCCTGTCTTTTCTCGGACCATGCTATGCTTTCTTGCACCCTCTCATTTCCACGGTGTGACGACGGGCAAAGGCCTGTGGAGGCTGAACTGCTCCTGTTGGAAGACACAGACATTGTTGAAGAATACAGGGAGCAGTACAGACAATGGAAGACCCTCAAAGACTTTTATGATTCACATGCACAGTGGTGGGAAATGGTGAAGGGAAAGACTAAGACTTATTTTAAACGAGCTGGGGAAAAGAAAAAGGATAAAGAGAGGAGATGCATGGTGGGACTGCAAAAGCGATTACAGCGGTATTTTAACCTTTTGAACCAAGGATTTGATTTTAATGAAGATATTCGCCAAGTAAAAAAGACAATGGCGGATCTAGAGGAGAAAAGAAATAAAGGGGTAATTTTACAAAGTAGGGAGAAGGAACTAGAAGAAGGGGAAAAATGTACAAGCTATTTCTTCCGCAAAATAGTGAATAGAGGTGTGGGTATGGTGAGTGTAAAAAACAAAGAAAAAATAATCTTATAAAAACCACACAAGGCATTTTAAAGNCATTCTCCAACTGTGATTTTAGCAGCAACAACAATACAACTTTCAGAGCTCACAAGTCCAAGAAACACAGAAAAAAACTTTGAATGAACTCTGCACATCTGTTTGTACAGTAGGTAGTATAAGCAATGAGTTTGACACAGTCTCAGTTTCACAAAGTCCATCAGATCAAGCTGATGACATTCAGGAAGATTCTCATATTTCAGATTCAAACCTCGAGGAATGTAAGCCAGTACTTGAACACAAACTTGCTGCATTATTCTTGTGTATGCAGTCACAGTTGCATGTGTCCCAAAGTGCCTCTCAACAGATTATTGATAATGTAAATGACATTCTGTCAATTGCTAACTCAAATACACTCAGTGCAATTCAGAATATTCTGCTAAAGCACAACTGCAATGTTAATGAGTCTATTGTTGCTGACATTACTGACACATTGCAAAATACAAACCCATTTCTGAATGCCACCACTGACAAAGGTCCCCTTTCAACTATAATCACAAGCGAAACATCTACTTCAAAAACAATTTTTGGCATAATTGAACCTGTTGAATATGTGTTCAATAGGGTACAGAATCACTCATTTGTTTATGTTCCTCTTTTGAAGACTTTGAAGTCTTTGTTGAGAGACCTGACGTTCTTGAGAAGACGTTTCCCATAAAGGAGGGTACACCAGGATTGTACACATACCTTTTGATGGTCAGTATTTCAAAGTTAACAAGCTTGTTAATAGTCAAGATTTCAGACTTTCACTTGGGTTTTATATTGACGATTTTGAGATTGCCAATCCATTGGGAACTTCTAGAAAGAAGCATAAAATTACAGCAGTCTATTGGGTCATTTGAATTGGGAATCACAGTACAGATCGAGTCTCCACTCTATCCAATTGGCACTGCTTGGGAAAAGTTCTGAAGTGAGAGTGTATGGTTATGAATCATTTTTTGAACCACTTTTGTGTGACTTGAGGAGCCTAGAGCAAGAAGGCTTGTATGTTGAACAGATAGGTGCGAATGTCCGGGGAACTGTGCTTAATGTGTCTGCAGACAATCTTGGTGCGCATGGACTCGCAGGTTTCAGGAAAGTTTTCGCGTTGAAAAATTCTGCAGATTTTGCTTAGCATCTTTGAAAGACATTCAGACCTCAGAAGTTAGGCAGGGACTTTTTCCACTCAGAAGTCATGAGCAACATGATCAATGCATTGCTGAGTTGAAGAGCAATGAGTCCATAACAAATGTGAATGGTGTAAAAGCTGAATGTGTTTTTCAGAAACACCTATCCTCCTTTCATGTCATCACTGGTTTTCCTCCAGATGTTTTACACGATCTGTTTGAAGGTGTAATACCTAGGGAATTGGCTCTGTGTCTGCAGAAATTGATTGGTGCCAAGTACTTTACATTTGAACAGCTCAATAACATTATCCAATCATTTCAATATTCATATTCAGATAAAGTGAATCGCCCACAAAGAATTCCAAAGACATTTCACTTGAAAAAAACAGTTGGAGGAAATGCACATGAAAATTGGGCCTTAATTAGACTGCTCCTCTCATGGTAGGTGGTTTGGTGCCTGAGGATGAAAAAGCATGGCAACTTTTAATGGACTTAAAAGACATTGTGGAATTAGTGGTTAGTTCAAAGCTTTCAGAAGCATCTCTCTGTTATCTAGAGAGTAAAATTTCTGAGATCATCGCCAGTTATTCACTGATGTCTTTCCCAATGAAAGGTTTATACCTAAACATCATTACCTTGAGCATTATCCACACTTAATCCGCTGTTTTGGCCCTTTGGCTGATCTGTGGACAATGCGGTATGAAGCGAAGCATAGCTTCTTCAAGCGGGTGGTGCACGACACCCGTAATTTCAAAAATCCCCTCAAAACGTTGGCAAGTAGGCATCAGTCAATGATTGCTTTCGCTTTGGACTCTCAAAATTTCTTCAAAGCACCATTGCATGTTGAAAAATTGAAAGTGGTCAAATTGTCAGCTGTTGAACCGCGGCTGCGGACAGCTGTTGAAAACAAATATCCAAATCTGAGTTCCTTGTCCCTGGCAACAAAAGCAACATTGCTTGGGACTTTGTATAGTAAAGGAATGATTCTACCAATTAGACTTAGTGATGGCTTTCCAGAGTTTGGTAGAATTCACAGTATTCTGGTTGTTGGCACAGAGGTCTCATTCATAGTGGAACAACTGTCTTCATGGTACTTTGAACATTTTAGAGCATATGAAATAGTTGGAAGTACTTACTGCAATGTTGCTATTGTCAACCCACAAGATCTCATTGATTTCTACCCTCTGGCATCATACAATGTAGGTGGAAAGATTATGGTGTCTGCTAAGAGATTTTTACTTTTCTAAAATTGAATCTCTTCATTTTCTTTCCCAAGAAACTATGTTACTTCGAGTCATTCTCTCACCTGACAACATCAGGAAGTTATCAATACCTACACCATCGTCAATTGAAGAACTCTCTGCAGTTCTCTGTGAAAAATTGCAGATAATGGGAAGTTTTGTTATCCAGTATGAAGACCCTGACTTCAACAATGAACTTTGTACTTTACATGACAATCACAGAGCTTCCAAAAGACAAGGCTACTTTAAGGATCCACTGGGAAGTAGTTTTAAGCCCAGTGGTGGACAATGCTCACCTTTCCGATTTCACTGTGGATACAGCAAGCATGACGTCCACTCAGTCATCAGCTTCATTACCCCATTCAGTTTCTCCTCTCTCTACATCTAGATCTGAGCAGTGGCCAAGCATGTTTCCAGTGCCTTCCTTTTCATATGATGTGGAGTTGAGGCTGAAAAAAGCTAACGAAGATCTTCAAGAAAATGGAACAGCTTTGATTGTTCCAAGAGACATGAAAATGAATATCTTGGACAAATTGGCTGAAACTGTGTATTCTTTCAAAGCTTACCCAAAAGACTCTGAAATAGAGAAGGTTGCATGTGCTTTGGTAGAAAAACACCCCAGTCTCAAAGACCCAGGATCTGACACGACAGGATGTGAAGCATGGAAAATGAGCCTGAAGTTTAAAATGGCTAATTATCGCCAGAAACTCCGCAATGCAGGATGCAGTGAGATGGTTGTGAATACCCACTCTAGACAAGGTTCATCTCGAGGATCTCTCAAGAGACCCAGAAGATCTGAACTCAACTTTCTTCCCGACCATCCTGTTGGTTTGGATGAAGAAGAATTAGAGAAGGAAAGGTCATTTATGGAAGAGAAGAAGTGAAAAAGAGAAATTTGAGCTTGACCGTTTTGAATGCAAAGATGGAGACAACATTTTCCTTGAGGAGAAAGGAAATTGTGCAGGATCAGCCGCTGGTGTCAACAATCAAGCAAAGATGGCCAGGACTGTTTTTGAGGGGAGGTAAGTCATGTTTTCATCTGTCACAATTGGAATTGGATGTCTTAAAATTTGCTTTGCTTTTACTTGTTTGCTTCTAAATCTTTCATTACCTACAGGTTTGTGCTGAATTCTTTCGCATCAACCGTATCGACCTGAAAACAACATTCCTGACGTCGCTGGACAATCACACCCAGGGGTTGCTGAAGATGTACAGAGCCAAAGCAAGACAGGGAAGGTGGAACAACTTGGATGAACTTCTGGAGAAACTGGATGCCCAGGTAAGTCAATCATTTCTCATGTTAATCATGTGCACACCACACACCCCACACTCACGCACACCACAGACACCCCACACGCACGCACGCACACCACACGGACACCCAACCCCATACGCAGACTGCACGCACGCACACCCCACACCGCACACATGCATACACGCACACACCCCACACCACGGACACCCAACACATGCACACACACCACACGCACAGACACCCAACACCAAACGCACGCACACACACCCCACACGCACACCACGGACACCCAACACCACACGCACGCGCACACACACCTTACTGACACCCAACCACACACACACACACACACACACACACCCCACAAACTCACATCACGCACACCACACACCACACACAACCCCATACGCAGACCGCACGCACGCACACCCCACACCATGGACTCCCAACCCCATACCACCATGCACACCACTGACACCCAACCACACACACACCCCACAAACTCACATCACGCACACCACACGCCACATGCAAGCACACCACGCACCCCACACGCAACAGCACACGCATGCACCCCACACGCACCCCACACGCAACAGCACACGCACGCACCCCACGCACACACGCAACAGCACACGCACGCACCCCACACGCACACACCCAACAGCACACGCACACAACACACACCCCACAATGCACACACCCACCCACACGCAACCAACACACACCCCACAACTCACATCACGCACACCACACACACGCACACACACCCAACACCGCACACCAACTACCCCGCACACCCCACACGCGCAACACACACCACACGCCAACACCCACACGCAACACCACACGCACGCACACCACACCCAGCGCCACACGCAAGTACGCACCCCACACGGACACCCAACACCACACGCACGCACACCCAACGCCACACGCACGTACGCACCCCACACGGACACCCAACACCACACGCATGAACACACCTCACACCCAACGCCACACGCACGCACGTACGCACACACACACACCCAACACCGCACGCATGAACACACCCCACACGTATGCACGCACGCACCGTATGCACACACCCCGCAAGCACACCACACACACCCCACATGCACGCACTCCACACACACACACACACACACACACACACACACTGCACAGGTAAAATAGACCTCTATTCAGTCTGTCCAATGGTTGATACAACACAGTATCCCACCGATCACAATTCTGACCAATCATAAAACTCACTTTTTCACACACTTTTCCATGAAAATTAAAAAAAAAAGATTGGATTGATTGCTTCAAAGGGATACTAATGACACATGATTTGGATATTTTTGTCTCTGGGAAAATTTCATGAAGTTGGTTGTAATGAAGCCCAATGGTGAAAGGAGTAGGTGATCCTAAACTGTTGGTATAGTAGACGTGTAACCTTTGTGAATTAGGTTACTTAATGTCTTATTGATGTTCTATCTTTTTGGCAGACCACAGATCTAACTACTCATAGAAGGTCTGCTGTTCTTCGTGGTCTTCCCCTGTACTTGAGAGAGCCTGCTTCAATTTCAAAGACTATTAAGGTAATTAATTTGAATATCTTTATGGTATTACTGTGTGAGATGCAGTTATGATTGCATAAGACATGCTTTCAGTCTGACACTAAGTGTCATTTATTGTGTTTCACAGGATACTGAGGCACTGGGGCCACACACAAAGGCCATGAAAATGGGGATCCTGGAAGTGACCGACAGTTCTACCAACTCAGGACCATATTCCACAGTGGTCAATGTGGCTGTAGTACTGGAGGAGGAAGTTGTCATGGACAATCTGGGAGACTTCACAAATGCCCTCATGATGCTCTTTGGTCTGCTTTATGCTGTAAATATGGAGTACCCTAAGGACTTAAGGTACACATTTGAGGCAATCCAGAAGATTATCTTTAACCTGGGAAAAGAGTGCACAGCAAGGATACAGTCCTTGAAAAACAAGTTATCACAGGTTTAATGGTGATTACATGTTACCACTCTGGAAATTGTTGATTACTTCTTTCCCCACGCAGTTCATTTGTGAGGAATATGAATTTCAGAGGGAGTGTCTATATTATATTATGCTGATATTTCATTTGTCAAATGTTTACAGGCAAAGCTATTGTCGTGTTTTACTGAGTTGCTTATTGTAAAGCGGATATTTTGTTGTACAACTATTGACTAAGGTCGAATGGTTGAACACTTGCGTAATATTTGAGCCTAACAGGCAAGTTCTTATGTATTTTAATTAGGGCTGTGCAAAAATTTATTGCGATTAATTGCATCCAAAATAAAAGTCTGTGTTTACATAATATATTTGTGTGTGCTGTATATAATTATTTTTGTATATATAAATACCTATGCATGCATGTATATATTTAAGAATTATTTGCGCTTAAATTCTGTATATATATATATATATATATATATATAAATATATATAAATACATAATCTATATTATATAAATATTTTATATATGAATAACACATTTTCTTAAATATGACATGCATGTATGTATATTTATATATACAAAATAATTATATACAGCACACACAAATATATTATGTAAACAGACTTTTATTTTGGATGAGATTAATCGCAATTAATTTTTGCACAGCCCTAATTTTAATAAATACATAAAATGTATTTTATCAGAGCATAGTGTGTAATGTCTTAGACTAAAAATGTCAAATGTTTACATGCAAAGCTGTTGTCATGTTTTACTGAGTTTCTTTTTGTAAAGCAGACATTTGTTGTACAGCTAAGAGTGATATTCCATGCTTTCTTGAACTCTTACTTGTGTATTATTTGAGCCTAACAGGCAAGTTCTTATGTATTTTAATAAATACATAAAATGTACTTTATCAGAGTATAGTGTGTATTTTATTTGAAATAATGAAAAGATACTTTTGACCAGCATTAATGAAAAATTGAAAAATATTAAATTAATACAACATTTTATTTCAATTTCAGTTTGCTTGTTGGCCCAACAAGCTGTTCAGTCAACATAAAATATTGAATTACACAACATTCTATTTCAAGTTCAGTCAACATGCAGGGGTAGTCAGCACAACACAAAAAAATTGGTTTCCGCAACTTAAATTGGGCCAACTAAAAATTTTAGGTGCAACGGGTCACTAGAAATTTTTATGTTGGGGAGGCATATATTTTTTTACAGTGTAGACATGGCCGGTTCGTGAACGAATCGGTTCTTTTTAATGAACCGGTCGAACCAGTACGCTAAATCGAACTGAATCATTCGCATCAGTTCGCGTCTTGCGTCAGTGCTGATCCACAAGTTACTACAGTTACTCACTTTCAGACATGCCTGACAGTCCCTCCGAGTTGAAATAAACCAATATCCCGAATTATATTTTACTCCAGTAACTCTAACAGTTCACTGAACTGAGACATGTTGTTGATACTGCTGATACTGCGCATCCGCGTATAGTAACGAACGCAGAGGTACAGCGGTTCTCGGATCACACCAGTACAGAACTGAGAACTGTTTAGAATGAGCTTGTGTGTCATCTTCGTGCCAGTTATTCAGCCAATAAATAAATTCGGCCTATATATTTCATAGAAAATTCTATCTAGTACTATATAAATACAAAGGTTTAATTGGCATTTTTTTCCAAACGACCTGACCGACCGCGACCCGAATATCATTAAAAATATTTTTTGGATGACCCGTAACTGCGGGTAACCGCGGGTGACCGCGGCGCAGGCACCCGCTCATTTTGGATCAACCCGTGCATCACTGGTGTGGAACAATTTCAAAGTGAATGGCTTTGGATTAGGAGAATAAGTTTACTTGTAGTCGCCAAGTTACTTATAGTCAGTTGAATGTCTGTTGGGGGACCAAATAAATAAAGTGTTATCAGATATTAAGCTGATCGTACTAATACTCTAGTCTACTAATACTCTAATGACAGTTAGTTGACATGTAATTGAAAAGTTACTTATAGTTAGTAAAGTGGACTATCGAAATAAAGTGTTACCCAAGTAATTTAATCAAGGACCTAAAAACCCGTATATAAAAATATTTAAATCATGTTTTTTTTGTTTTTTTATTAAGTACTCGGTATCGGTATCGGCGAGTACTGAAATGCAAGTACTCGTACTCGTATTCGTTTTCCAAAAAAGTGGTATCGGTGCATCCCTAGCCCTGACCATTGTTTTTTTCTACTTATTAGAAATGAGGTATTTATGGACCTCTGAATTAGAATAATGGGTCATTTCTCAAAAATGCTACAGTAAAATGGTTTGATACGAGGTGCGTGTACTGTGTGGGACGTCCCGTATAAGAACTGACCTTTATTTTTTTCTACTTATTAGAAAAGAGGTATAATGGCCCTCTGAAGTCGAATAATGGGACATTTCTCCAAAATGCTACAATAAGATTGTTTAATATGAGGTGATACTGTATGGGACGTCACCTATAAAAATTGGCCATTAGTTTTTTCTTATTACAATTTTTTTTTGTAACAGACAGACAGACAGACAGATAGAAAGAAAGAAAGGTTATGAATATATAGATAGAAATAAAGAAAAAGATAGATAGATAGATAGATAGATAGATAGATAGATAGATAGATAGATAGATAGATAGATAGATAGATAGATAGATAGATAAAGAAAGAGAAAAAAGAAAGATAAAGAAAGAAAGAAAGGTTATGAATATAGATCGAAATAAAGAAAAAGACAGACAGATAGATAGATAGATAGATAGATAGATAGATAGATAGATAGATAGATAGATAGATAGATAGATAGATAGGAAGAAAGAAAGAAAGAAAAAAAGAAAGAAAGGTTATGAATATATATATAGAAATAAAGAAAAATATAGATAGATAGATAGATAGATAGATAGATAGATAGATAGATAGATAGATAAAGAAGAGAGAAAGAGAGAAAGAAAGAAAGAAAGAAAGAAAGAAAGAAAGAAAGAAAGAAAGAAAGAAAGGTTATGAATATATAGATAGAAATAAAGAAAAGATAGATAGATAGATAGATAGATAGAAAGAAAGAAAGAAAGAAAGAAAGAAAGAAAGAAAGGTTATGAATATATAGATAGAAATAAAGAAAAAGATAGATAGATAGATAGATAGATAGATAGATAGATAGATAGATAGATAGATAGATAGATAGATAGATAGATAGATAGAAAGAAAGAAAGAAAGAAAGAAAGAAATATCGATCCGGGCGACTCAAGCGCTCTGAAGCGCGTTCCTCTGCTGTGACTGAAATTACCGTTCAAACTGCGGCTGGCTTGACCGCGGTGGTTTACCGTCTCCTAATAGTCATTTAATGTTTGATTTTAAGGTCATTTGAATGGTAAACTTAGGCACTTAAACCTGTTTTTCAAACATCATGATTAGTATGGCCTATCAGTGGTTTTGCTTTAGGACTTGGGGAGTAACTAGTCCTAAAGCAAAACCACTGATAGCAGATAGCCCAAACACGATGTTTAAAACAGGTTTACTCTCTCTGCTGGCAGTAATTATACACCCAAACTAACCACTGGATCACTTCACCTAACATTAGTCAATATTAGACAAGACCTGATTCGTTAAATCACACAATGCAGACTAAAGGAAACATCTCAAGCGCTGATATCTTTTGACGATAATAATCTAAGTTTGAGGTCGATCTAAAACACATCAAGATCATTTTCATCTTAAAATAGCCTATTAAGATGAAACAACCACATATGTTTGTTTATCTTAAGAATGGCTATTTAATGATGAAAACGAGCTTGTATTTAGAGGAAATTAGTTCCATGACTAACTTTTCTTTTGTGTTGTTATCTAAACTAATTTAAATACAAACACGCGTGTTATATACAGGCGTTTCTTAAACAAGAACTAACGTTAGTCAACTTACCAAGAGCAAAAAACAAAATCACAGGACGAAGGAGTCCCGTTCCTTTATCCATTTTGACGAGTCTCTCTCGAGCGCGGATTAAAGTTCAGTCCTTTAGTCCTGTGAACTGGTGGATCTGCGCGAGCTGCATGATAAAACACACACTGGACTGGATTGGCACAGTCGTGTCCGGAAGTGAGTGTGTGTGTGTGTGTGTGTGTGTGTGTGTATGAGGCGCCGGACTGGACAAAAGCGAAGCGAACTGCGCGAGAGAGAGCGAGCGTTTCAGTGCGCGCGAGAGAGGCCGAGCGTTTCAGTGCGCGCGCGAGAGACCGAGCGTTTCAGTGCGCGCGAGAGAGACCGAGCAGTGCGTGCGCGCGAGAGAGGCCGAACGTTTATTGGACAACAATAATCAGTACAAACGTCTTTTTTAACTAGTGTTTAATTAACATAAATAATTCCAGCAGATAAACTTTCATAAGGAGGATTAAATAAAATTGAATTTATGTAGCCAGTAAGATTTCATAACTAATCACTGAACCATAACCAGATTTTTCGTTTCTTGGGCGTCAAATAAAATAACAATGACTCTGAATTGTATTCACCTGTTGTCTGTGCAAGTGTTTCCATGAGAGCATCAAATAGACGCTTTCTATGGAATGCCAAAGCTGACTAAAAAAAATAAATAAATACATAAATAAATATACAAAGAAATGTAAAAAAGCAAAAATACATAAATAAATACATAAATAAATATACAAAGAAATGTAAAAAAGTGCATATAAATGAGTATTTATACTTTTATTTCCATATTTATGTATAATTGTATTTTTCCACACATTTATTTATTTATTTATTTATACATTTATTCATTTATTTATTTCAACTTTTATTTATTTCCACATTTATGTCAGTATTTATGTTTTTATGTCTACATTTCTTTATTTTCACATTTCTTTATTTCTATATTTATTTATTTCCACATTTCATCATTTCCACATTTATTTATTCCAACATTTCTTTCTCCGTATGTTAATGAGGGGGGGGGGGGGCGTGTTTTAAAGGGCACCTATTATGGAAAATTCACTTTTACATGGTGTTTGAACATAAATGTGTGTTGGCAGTGTGTGAGCAAAACCACCCTAGAATGATAAAAATCCATCCAGTAGTTTTTTTACAATCTCAATAAATCATATGCACTGCCTCAGAACGAGCTGTTCTGAGATCCAGGTCTTTGTGACGTAGAACGGGAGACAGGGGGTTGATTGACAGTGTGGCTGTGGCCTAGACCCCGCCCTCGGTGATCTGTACACACCATCCTTCATTGTTTCAACGACGACAGCCGGTAATGTCTCTTGGAAACGTAAATTTATGTTCTGTCGTGGACTCGTGGGTTAATCCTGTTGTTGTGGC